ACACATATATATATGTATGCAAACAAACGCGCGCGTGCGACGACGAGAATGCAAATACCATAAATCGCCTCCCCGTACATATAGTGCACATGTACATGTATATACACACTTTGGCGCAATTATTATACATTATATGTACATATGTGTACACGCGTATGTATATAATATATAAATATGCGCACGGGCGCGTGCACCCTTTTATTTGCCCAGGTATACACATATATATATATTTAGTCCGCACGTGCGTTGTTTATCGCTTTAACATAATGATGCTATGGACCTGCGCCGTACGACAAGTGGATCCCAAGATCCCTCTCTCTGATTGTAGTTTCGTATATACACGTATACATCATCCACGGGGAGCTCAATTAATTAGCGAATTTTCACTCGACACCGACCAAATCCCCCCCCCCCGCCCTTGTCTCCTCTTCCGTCACGTACACACCCTTACTCGTATCAAGAGTATACATATACATGTACACATCCACAGAGGGCGAGGCTAAACATTCAATTAGCACTTTCTAATCCTCCCCTCGTCGTCAACAGCCATTACTTCCAGCATCTTTCTGCCGAATCTCGGAGCCTGATGCGCTAACTCGCTCTCTTTTCTCCATCCGCCGGTAGGTGCCTGCGCGTCTCTTAATCCCACTGAACGATGTATACTCGAGGGGTGGGCTCAGCCAGACTCTCTGCCTCCCCTACGATGCGTGACTCGATGTATCATATATACATATATTATACGTGTGCACATCGAACGAAACGACGGCAGCTCAGTTTCGCGTCCAACACCTCGCGCTTGCCTATCCTACTCACCGATAACTCACGAATGTATAAAATCACGACGCGGCAAAAAAAAAACAAAAAAAAATAAATACCTAAATAAAATAAATAAGTAACCATCACGGTGCATCCACAGCAAGCAAAAGTCTGCGGCTTTTTCAGGCCGGAATAATCCTTTTGCCCCCGCACCCCCTTGATCCCTTTTAGCTTGTGTGTGTGTACACCCGTCCCCATGGGCTCCTTGTGGCGCGCGTTTATTTTAACGAATGCTCGAGAATACACGCGCCCGAGCGACGCACGTCGGCATATATAATTGCGTTAGTTCGAGAGCCTCGGATTTTGCCCTCTCGAGTGTCTCCAAGGGTGGTAGATGGGGGGGGGGGAGGGTGACATTTTTAAGTGGCGGCAGGGAAGGTGGAGGCATTCGAAAGCCAAGAGCGAGCGAAGGAGCCGTGGATCGGGCTAATGGCTTTGATACGAGAAAGGGATGAGATTCGGTGGGGAGGGGATGAAAAGCCGGGGGTGAGATCCGCGTGCGCGCGTCCTTACGTGTGCGTACCTCCGTATACTGTTCTCTTATATCGTTTTATGTTATATATAGTTTTTTTCCCTCGCGTCTGTGTGTGTGTTCGACGGTACATAAGCAATTACGGGCGGCAGTGGTGGTACTTCAGAACGCACTTTGCCTTTTTTCTTCGTACGTATTGTACTATTCTTTTCTTCGGACTCCTCCTGTGCACATACGCTCGGGCTTCTCTCTTATCTCGCTTCAATCACGTGTGACGTTATTATTTTTTTTTTCTTTTACTCTTCCTGCGGCTTTTTGTTTTTTCCATCCTAGCTGTAAGACCTTTTTTTTTTTTTTTTGACCATTTACAATCCATCTTTACGGAAAACGTGATTTTTGTGCTTACCTTGTGGGTACAGGTGCCAATGAGGAGACTCGATTGATAAAAGGGAGACAACACCCAACAAATATATCTCTCCCGGTCTCGAGTTTGTTGTAACGCGTACAGCACAGTCCCCTTTCCACTCCAGGTACGAACAAAAAATGAAAAAAATAAAAACGTGCAAACACATCGACTGTAGCGCGTCCCTCGGTCTCTTTGTCTCTATTTTTATCCCTGAAAAATCGAGGGACGCGTTTGCATGCACGTGAAACCGTGTACGTGTACCCTACATTATATGCATGCGCGTCTCGGGCGCGAGAGAGAGAGTGAAACATTTTTTTATTTCTTCTCTTCGAAAACAGACGTGCTCGCATTGTTTGGCAGTTTTGTCCTCGCGAGCGCATTGTCATTACGATGATCGTCGTCGTCGTCTCTCGGCATTGTCGGGCGCGCGAGAAGAGGACAGATATCGGCGCTTGTATGGCTTGAATTTTCTCGTATATACGACAATGGTTGAAGCGAGCCCCCCCCCCCACCGGGGCGTGCCTGTTTCTGGCGGTGACGTTCGATCCGAAGCTTCTTCTTCTTCTTATCCACTTATCTCCCGGTGCTTAGTACTAACCCTCTTGGAGGTGCGCCCGGGGTCGGGAGAGGAGCGCGATGTTGGTGTGCGTTTGTACGTGTGTACACAGCGATCGGTAAATCGGACGAGTCCCGGGGATTAATTAACTGTGGCCTCGATCGACGGGGGAGACCCCGGAAGCTGCGGTGCTTGAGTTACTCGCGGGAATATTATTGCCGGCTGATGCATCATTGGGTGCACCGTTTATGAGGACTTTGGTGAGTGTTTTTCAACGGGACAAGTTGATATGTGCTCTACATAATACCATAAACGAGACCACAATTGATTACAATACCATTGATAGGATATCTACACCTGCGGTACTCGCACCATGTCTGTATATTAGCTGAATGGAGAGCCCGAATAAAAGGCATTTACTCCGAAAATAATTTTGTGTAGACCGTTTCGAGTAGTTCGCAAAGGTCCTTATGAGTAAATAAAAAAAAAAAAAAAAAAAACTAAAGCTCACGTCGTCGAGATTAATTTTGGAAATTTTGGCTGGTCTTATCGATTCATTGGCTAATTTACTGTACATGTATATCGCAACAGTACAGCACTACTTTATTATTGAATAAACATGACGTTAGCGTGCCATTAATTAACAGATCGAAACGATTTCTTGAATTTCCAGAGTCGGCGGCAACATGTGCGACGGCGCGTCGTTCCAGGACACGTTGCGGGGCATGCAGGGCATGTCAGGTGCCTCGCCCCCGGGTGCGGCAGCCGTGGGCCCAATGGTCGGGCTGGGCAGTCCTTTGGGAGCCGCGGCAGCCGCTGTCGCGGCATCGAGCGGCAAACGCTTGCAGGTCGACCACATAAAAAGGCCGATGAACGCGTTTATGGTCTGGTCGCGCTCCCAGCGTAAAAAGATCGCCCAGGAGAACCCCAAGATGCACAACAGCGAGATATCCAAGAGGCTCGGTGAGTTGATTTATGTTTTTTTTTTTTTTTTTTTTTTTTCTTTCCAGGCTAAGACGGTAAAATATACACTACACGTGACAAAGTAAACTGTCGAGCTACTGCACCAACGAAGCCTGTGCATCGTACACATCCCCTTCTTTGTCCGCAGCTTGTGTTTTTGCGAGTAAAAGCAGAGCTGCGGGAAAAAAAAAAGTTGGACCTCTCGGGGGATAGCTTATCACCGCCAGTGGCATCAGCAGTCCTTCCTTGCTTGTGCCCTCCTTTTTTTCCTCTGTTTTCTCGCGGCTTTGATCTCTTGTGGATTTGAAAGTACCTACCCCCGCTCGCGTCTTCTTTGAGCCAAACGAGCGATTGGGAGCGTATACGTGTGGCTGCTGCGTGTCTTTCTTCTCCTGTTTCTCCTTTTGTTTTTTGTTTTCTCCTTTGGTTCTTTCCTTCTATTCTCGAAATGTAGATTTCCGTACAGTGGCGACATCAATTCATTAGCTCGCGATTTTTCAAATTTGAGGCGACGAGGGTCGCGTAGTACGAGAGAAAAATATACTTACCAACGAGTATATAGAGTACGAGAGAAGGGGGTAAACGCACAGGCGCGCACCACGGATCGATCGGCCTTTCGAATGCGGTATATGCACACGGGGGCGTGTGTGTAACCAGCCGCGGGGCTGGCTCATCTCCTCATTGTGCGCTACAGTACTTGATCTCCGGGACCTGCTGTGTTTTCGTCGCCTACACCCCCTCGAGAATATATATATACATGGCACGAGATTACCAACGCTCGGCTGTTACAATGGGAATGCACGAGCGGTTCCACGAAAGGGGACCATTGCTTGTGGCATTACGAAATAAAATATCGTTAGTGCATCTTTAGAACTGGTCCAACGTCCTGTGTGTCTCACAAATATTTTGAACATAACTGATCCACTGAAACATTCTTGACCACGCGTATTTCGTTTTTTCAACTCGGTTAGTCTTACTAAAAAATATTTGAATAATGGAACCTTTGAATCTGCATGGAACCAGTAAAATGACGTTAAAAAAATGAGAGAGGACCAGTTACTACGGATGGCGAGGGGCTGAAATCTCAATTTTTCTCTAGATCGCCGTAGCCAACGATTATTCACGGAATCATTCGTACATCGCGTAAACCTTATTTAACGATCGCCGTATACGAGTGTACATATAGGCACACGTCACACGTAAACTCACAACAGGCACCTGATTCTCTCCTTCCGTATATATGGGCACGCATGTGCACGTTTACTCGTCCCGCACCATCGATCCACATTTTGATCTGCTCCATCGCTCTCCCCGTCTATACCCTCCCATGCCTCCAGGCGGTGCAGGATTCTTCTCCACTGCACCCATCGCACGTGCAACAACCATAAGCTCATCGATTCATCCGATACCAACGTTGATTCATTATAAACTTTGATACATCAACATCCAGGCTTTTTAATTCATCTCCAAACAAGGACAATGTATATGGCTTGCAACACGTACATATTATATAATATATGTGTGTACGGCAACGAGGGTGTATAGTTATTACCGCCAACAGAGTGGGGAAGGCTCGAATCGCTCGTTTTACGCTCCTCGCCCACGCGCTTGTGCGTACACAAGCCTACGACCCGCCGGGCATACGCAATTCGCCGCTCAGCTGCTGTTGGGCCATTGTCGGCGCGAAATACTGCCACGGTGTATTTATTGTGTTTTCGTGTACCCCTGTAGACCTTTCCTGTTTAAATTCGCTCGGTAGAGGGTGGTTGTATAGAGACATACCGATGATGGATTTGTCTCCGATCATTGACACGCGTGGCGCAATTATGTTCCCTCATCGGCCTCGTTTCGAGTAAACAACGCTCGCTTGAAAATTCAGAGGTAAGAATTAAAAAAAGACCCTTTTCTCTCGAAGCACCGCACAAGCGACACATGTATCATCCGCCATTGCGAGTTCCCTCCTCCACCGCATCGCGACAAGGCAACAACAACCGCCTCCTCCTGCCCTCCTCCAGCTTGCATCCCACGCGACGGCGCCACACGAACGCGGCCCCCCTCATCGATCGACATACACGTCGTGTACACACCCTCGGTCGCTAGACGTTTTCGTGGGCTTTATTTGCCATCGACACGTAGGTGGTCGTTTGAGTTTACCAATTAGGCAGTAGAGGAACGTGAATCTCCAAATCCATCAGTCATACCTTATAATCCCACTAAGCAGTAGACCAGACTTTAATGGAATATTTTTTCTGATTTTTTGTTTGAAAAAAAAAAAGAAAAACAATCACAAGTTTTGCTTGATCCTCGAGGCACACGTATATGCACCAATTAAAAGACCGACCCCTCGGATTACACTTTATGGCCCCGAGTATTCTTAATCGACGTCACCTCGTGTACCCGAGGTCAGCTATAGACCTTTCAAAAAAAGCTTATCTGGCCCTATACATGTAGCATGTACCCGAGTACAGTAAGCGCAATAAACCTCACCCCCATAGACACGGCGATGCCCCGCTTGTCGCGACTGCAGTTGTATATTTGTGCATGGACCCAATTGTTTTCGTCCGGGAAAATCAAGGCGAAGGCCAACCGAGACGCATCACTGCGCGAGGAGCCCAAGGGCCATAAACCAAAGGACGTGATTTACGGCGCTGTAAACATCCATGGACCTTCGAGGGCCCAAATCACCCCGTACGTCCGTACACTATGTGCACAGGGGGACAATTAGCGCGATGATTTACTCTCGACGTGCCCCCCTCCCCCGCCAAGCCACACGCGTAGACGGAAGGAGAAAGAAAGAAAACCCGGGGAGTAACAATGCGCGAAAACACACCGCTCGCGCATCATCATCATCATCCTTTCTCGGGGGTACAGGAGGCGCGAGATGGGCGGCTTTGTCGCGGGGGCCCCCGCGCTCGCTTATGTTCGGAGAGACAAGGGGACCGAGTCACGTGAAAGGCAGCGCCGAAAAATGAAAAGAGACAAAGGGAGGTGAAACAATGGGTGTGTGTGTGTGTGTAGGAACGAAAGACGCTTGCACTAGGGCGCACGGAGGGGAAGGAACAAAACGAAGAGAGAGGGAGGGAAAGCGCGTGTTTGTGTGCGGTGGCGAAAAAAAAGTGAGTGCGCACGAAGAAAGGGACGGGGGAGGGCGGGAGGAAGGGGCGGTCGTAAAAGCAGGGGGTTGCCAGAGAGAGAGAGAGAGAGAGTAGGCGGAGATGGAGGAGGGAAGAGGGCGAGTGTAGTGTTGTATCGTGCACTTACTCCGTGCATGTGGAGCTTTCATCCTAATGAAGTATTTTCGACGACTCCGTGAGGATACTTTTTCCAGGCTCTCGAGCACGAGCTGACGCGTATACGTACGGGCTCTTTCTCTCTCATCTCTTTTATTCCGTTTTACTGTGCGATGCGTCGACTAATATTGGATTCACTCGTTTGAATTGCTTTCACCGTCGATCGCTTTCGCGGATGATTTTTTCTTCTTTTTTTTCTTTTTTTTTTTTTCTGTTCAACGAGCGATTCTCTTTCTCCTGGTTGTGACTGTAATTTTCTTGATTGAAATGCTCCGAACCATTGTCACGGTGGTGTTTTGGATGAAAGAATTACTTTTGGCGCAGGTAACAGCTTTTGACTTTGGTTATTTTGGCGCAATGCAGCTTTTGCTCGGTTTAACTGTGTTGTGGATCTCATCGATTAGGTTCGTCTACACCCTTACTTGCCAATGTGACTCTGCCACGCTATATTTGACAAAGTACTACTTTCCCATGTATCTTCCTTACTATGAGTATCACTGTGATCTAAAATGTGTTCGAGATACAAACAATGTAATCTCGTACCTCAAAAGCAACTTTGTCTCTTTTTTCACGAAATGGAAATTCAACAGAGTGTCTCTACCACAGGGAACAATTTATTTTTTATTCCACCCGGAGATCCCATGAGGGGGAACAAAGAGAGAGACAGAAAATGTATTAAAAAAGCAAACTCGCTTCAGAAAAAAAGATTCGCCTCGTTGCAGACACACGAGGACCATCTGAGCTTTTGATTCTTTTACAAAGGTACTTTAGGTTTCTTGTAACCCGACGATGATTCGCAGAGCCCTTTCACCCGAGGAATATCTTCATATTTCATCACGTGACATATCCAAAAATGGAAATTTTCGGGCCACGCGAAAAAGTCTCACCTTACCTCTGATTTTTTTCCGCCCTCATTGTACCCCAAGTACACACAACTGTTTTCCCGGAAGGAAAAAAAAATAGAGCCCCATTAAAAAAAGGAAAAGGAGTAAAAGTCCATTGATTATCGTCACCGGCAGACCGTTCCATTATCCCCCTTTTTCCATTCAGTCGATTCCTCCTTCGTTTTCCTATACTCTTCCCTCTCTTCACAACGAAAAATGGACGAATATATGGATCGAGAGCGCGTAATTATGCGGGGGGATCGCTCCTATGGGCCACGTACAAAAGAACCGGGGTTTCGCGTTTCATATCCATTTGTGCGCGGAAAATGGAAAAGAGGCCGGTGGTGCCTTTCCGCGAAAAGGCTAATGACTTATACGGCTCCTAGGTCCTTTTGTGCGCGGACCATTATTTTTTCGCGCTACCGATTTCCCACAAAAACTTTTGCTGGATCTCACCAGCTTTCGGTTTTTATAGCTGCATCCCCTCCAAGGTAGAACGTGGAACCGCGAGCTTCCCAGCTTTAACTTACCACGCGATTGGGGCAAGCTGGAAAATTTCCACCCGAGCTTTTCCAAATGGACAAATGAACCTATAGGAACCCGATACATTAAAAACCAACTTCCGATGTATTTTCGACCAAAGGGGCGAGAGCTCGTCCGGGGGGAGGGTCGCCCCGAGCAAAAAGGCAAAAACGACGGTCAGAAAGAGCGGGAGGGAGAACGGCGCCCGATAAGAGCGCGCAGCAGCAGCCGCGCCTCCGTTGCGTCACCACAGCCGTGGTCCTCCTCTTTTCTTTTTCCCCCGCGGACCTCCTCTCCACCGTCCCATTAATTAACAAGGCCTTTGTCCCTTAAACGATGTTAAATAAACGCCATTGTCCCATTCCTCCCGGGGGGAGCGAGGGAAAAGAGGCAGCGGCCATTATGGTTTTAAAGTTCGGGCCCTCTTGGCGGATGAGAGGGTGGGAGGCCCATTGTTCCAGGCAAATATCCTCGCTCTCGCCGACCTCCCTTGACTTTTTCCTTTGTCCGTCCATCTTACGCTGGGGTGTGTTTTTCTTTCCCTAGCACGACAGAGGACCTGCAACCCTCTGCGCTGTATACACACGCTCACCTTTTTCCCACCGGACAATGTTCTTCTTTCTCTCTCCCTGTGTGTGTGTGTGTGTCCACGACTTCCTTCTCGAGTTTTCTTGTTTCCCCGCTTCTTCTTCTTCTTCTCCTTCTCAGTAGACTTCTTTCTTTACTTTGCGCTTTTTTCCCACTTCGTGCTTTATGCGCATGAAAGACGGCCTCTGTCCGTCCGCGCTATTACCGCGAGTTTTTGCGCCTCAACTCTTCCACGATTATTGTAACGGCTTGCCCGAGTCGAAGATCGTTCTGTTTGAGGATTTTTCATTCAAATGCGTCGTTACTTGCTTAGTTTTTGTCCAGCGGCGCGTTTCAATTGCCAACGGACGATCCGTAAGTAGTACGATCCGAGTTTGGTCAGACACAGGCGGCAGTGCCCACTATACTTTTCCATTTACTGCTCGAAACCTCGTTGTTTTTGCAGTTTTGGACTGAGCACAAGATCGGTGCACGGATTATGCAATATCCTTTACTGGTGAATTATTATTATTATTATTATACTCCAGTAGTAAAAGTCACGGACAATCCGTACATAGTATAGACACAGCAAACACACCGCAACCGACACTCGTCATTGAGCCTCTGTTGTGTAGGTCAGGAGCTCGAATTTACGATAAAAATTTTCGATTGTAATAAGAATTTTAACGCTGCTGTGTATATAGCTCGCTCCCTGTTCCGTAATTGTTGCGGCATTGTTCGTTTAATAATTGCTCGCGTGTAGGTATGGCGTGTTTTTCTTTGCATTTGCCGCGTGCATTTATCGTCAAAGTCATTGGTTTTGGAACGAGTGTCTCTCTAGTTTTTGTTTTTTTTTTTTTTTTTCTCGATATCAAACGACGGCCTGTATACGTGCCATTTATTCGTCCAAAGGGACGAGATCCCACACCAGCTACAGCTCGGTTCTACGTCGCTCGGCATTGTCCCTAGCAACGCGCTCGCGGCAAAGTGACCAAAAAAGCACGAGCGGCTCGGGAAAACAATGGGGGGGAGATACGCGCACCGAAAAAGAAGACGAAGAAGACGGAAGGAGGGAGATGCAGAGCCTTGGCTTCATTATCTCCTCCGGTGGGGGGTATATTGTCTCGCGCGGAAACTCGAAATCCCGAGCGCTTCCCTTGACCCCCTCGCGCTTGCGCGCCCGCGTTCGTTCCCGCCAGTCCCATTGTCTCGTACGCGTACACGCTCGTCGACGACGCCAACGAGTGGGCGCAACATTTGCTCCTCCTCCCTCTTCTCCTGCTTTTCGTCGCGAGAACCGTCGAGGATTGGAAATATCCTTATAAACTTCGTGTAGGTGGTACTATTATCAAAAAGCTGGACCACAGCAGTAACCAATAGCTGCGCGAGTGCTCGTGCCAATTAATCGGCTCGTATGGACTGTGGGTCGTCTCGAAATCCCATCAGCCACGTACGAGTTACTGTTGGCCTTCCTTTGGTTACAGCAATAGCAATTCCCCGCATCTATATACTCGAGTTCACTTTGGCAGTTAACGAGTGTGTGTATAATTGCGTCGGAGACAAACAGATCAGGGAATAAAGAGATCGCTGAGACAATAGGAGCCGAACGACGGAATTAAGACGCCCAAGGTGAGCCCTAACGACATTAGAGGCGGGGGGGGGGTAGTTTGTTCAAAAAGGGATGCGACACTAGATGGGTGGATGTAAATTTATTTGCGGGTATAATTACAATGGGGACATGGAGGGAATGGAATATTATGTAGTCCACGAGGCACGCGTCATTCGAATGCAAAGTGTCAGACTCGGAAGCAAAACGCGTGGATCACAGTTACTTTTTTTCTTGCTTCAGCCATATGGGGTGCAACAGCTCCAACGAAAACGGTTTTTTTTTCCTCGTTCAAAGCGGCTGTTGAATGAAAATAAAAAAAACCCTCGCCCCGAAAATATTATCGCATTCGGTATATTCATAGCTGGCGATTAACATCCTAAGCGCTTGGAACCGCCCGTCGATCAAAGCCATACCTCCGCTTACTTACAAGCGAGAGAAACACCTTCCTTCCTTCCTTCCCTCCGCCCGATGGAGACGCGTGTAGTATATAATTATGTCAGGCGGAGGAAGTTGCTCGACCTCCAAGCGCAACTGTCGCCTCTTTTATCACCATTTACGTGATCGAGGTGTCTCTCTTGTGCAGGAAAAAGAGAGAGCACCGCCAACAGCGGCGGTCGAAGGCCACGCGACTCTGCGCGTGCCGGAAATCGTCTTACCATGAAAATGACAGCGGGACTGCTCTTCTTCCTCCGAAAGAGGGAAATTCAAGTCAAACGAGGGTTGTCGCACGCTGATCTCGTTTCAAGGGGCTCTTTGTTCTCCACTACTCTGGCCCCGGCAACGCGATGCCCTACTCCTTTCGTTTCTTTGCTCCTCCTCATTTTGATTTTATTTCGCTTCCGATCAAAAATTCACGAGCTGCCTCTACCGCGGAGTAAATTCCGTACACCAGCAGCATGGGTGAATACGTTCATTGTAAGACGCCACAATAGTTTCAGATTAATCCACTGTCTTTTGTGTGTAGGTACGTCCTCCGATTTCATCCATGGGTAACTGGATGAGCGCTGCGCGCGCGAATTTTCGAGCCAATAATACGTGGCCAAGGTGTAGCATACGATGCGTCGTCTCCATGGGTACACGAGAAAATTTCCACCAATAGGTACACGTAGTTTGCGACGACACATCCGTTCTTTGTACGTATACAGCTTCAGAACAAGTGGTAATTAATTCTTGCCCCGTAACAATCGTGCCCCACCGTCTCTCTCCATTCGGCAGCTAGCACCGGGCATAGTTTGTTAAATGTACCTACGAGTGTCACTGGTGCCGAGCGGAGGTGTCACTGGGTGCATTGTGTCCGTATATACCTCGCTCGCTTTTTGTTCTACCCCGACTCCCCCTCTCCGCCCCTACCACCTCGTCTTCTTGCTGCAGCTTGGACTGCAGCATCGTGTGTGTATTTTTGTTCGGATGCATTTACGAGACGCGCCTCGTTTTATTCTCTCTTTTTTTTTTTTTTTTTTTTTTTTTTCCAACTCCCCCTTCCTGCCCCTCCCCCTCACCCTATTATTTTTCTTCTCCTCTTTTGTCTAGCGTGTACACTGTACGCGAGGGGCACGAGAGGAAAAAAAGGACGATGCGCGCGAGCTATTTTATTGTTGCACACGTGTGTACCCAACTTATGCTCTCGTTGGGACAAGAGCTGCTTGCTTGTTTGTTCATTCGTTGCGATATCGCGCTGAAATTAGCTCTAGTGAGGGGGAGGGGGGTTGACACGTTTTCGAGAAGCTTTTTAGAATTTCCGAAACAATCGAGAGCTGCTTTCGAAACTTTTTTTTATTAACTTTTCATTTTTGTAAAAAATTTTTAAAAGAAAGTCTTGCAAATGTAAGTACTAATACATGTACCAGCCATTTGTGTGCCTTTTTGCTCGAGCGTAGGTGCAGCCACCTGGTTTGTTCACTTGGTGCGGTGAATGGGGATTGCCCGCTTTCACGCGTATAAAAGCCAAATGAGTCGCTTCGTATGGCTGTGCAAACATCCGGTGAAACGTGTATTGCCGACAGTACTATTATGTAGTTACACTCACAACGGGAGTAGCTTACTTGCCTTACTGAAAATTAAAAACAAAAAAAAAGTACTTCAAGTACAAATGGTTGACCTGCGCGAAATATGTACGAATCGGGACCGAGATTTTTCAGTACAACAATTTGAGGCATTTTTCAAATATTTTGCATCAAACACAATATCGATCTATCTATGGTTGTAACTATTTGATTTTATTCATAAGTCCTGTGAAAAAAAAAAATTAATCAATACAACGACTCGAGTTACGACAGTGATAAAGTTTGGTTTCCCGTTTTGTTGTGATTACAGGCGCCGAGTGGAAGCGGCTGACCGAAGAGGACAAGCTGCCCTTCATCGACGAGGCCAAGCGACTGCGAGCGATGCACATGAAGGAGCACCCGGACTACAAGTACAGGCCGCGAAGGAAGCCCAAGACCCACCGCAAAGAGGGCTACAGCCCTTACGCCCTGCCCTACCCCAGCGTGGCCATTCCGAGTGAGTACATTATATTTTATTCTCTTCCCTGCCGACGAAAACAAAGACTCGAAAAAATCCGGGGTAATAAATAACGAGCTATGGCAGACAGGCTCGCGTGTTAGCTGGTACAACGTCCTCCAAAGCTACGCGCACGCGAGATTACGCGCGCTGCTTGCACAGCCGGTAATCGGGCCGGAGAGTTGCCGATTTATCGCGCGGTCGTAAATAATTTTTTTCGTTAATATCCACCCGTCGCTTCCTCCACCTCCTTACGACCAACGGGTGGTATATAGTTTATTTCGCTGGAGACATGTTCCCCTCCCCCCCCCCGGTAGTGCACAAGTTTTGTGATTACAATTTTGGTCCACGTGGACCGTACTGATTTGCTTTTTCAACCGATTGCCGCTGTGCGACGATTCATCTTTGGGATTAATTGAAACGCGTTGATTTTAATACCCACCGGAGCCCGTCAATCGCTCCCGGATACCGTAACGAGCCCCGATGCCGTCCATCACTCCCGGTGCTCATTACTTTGCGTTTACCTAACAATTAAAAAAATAAAAACGCGTCATCCAGTCGCTTGGCCATTAGCGCCGAAACACCTGATCAGAAGCAATGAGTCCGCACAAAACCTCGCTCGGAGACACACATGAAAAATAATAAAGAGAAAGGAAAAAAAAAAAAGAGTCCCTCGCATCGGCCAACTAATTTCCAGGGACACCTAGTTATACGCTCCCCCCCCCCCCATTTTTGAAAACAGCCTCGGGACGTTCTTTCGGTGTCCCATTCAGCGCCAATCAATTCCACCTCTAATTGCCCAACGCGGCTCTATATACGTACAAGCGCGAGAGCTCCCCTTCGGCGTGCACGACGATAATCAAGATCAACAGGGACAAAAGGAGATGAAGAAAAAAAAATACCCTCGTTCCCCGCTCAGTGTACACACGAGGTGGAGGAGCGAAAAAAAGTGCGCAGCGCCATCCCGGCGACGCACTTGAGATCCCGTAATTGAGTGGCCCGCGGAGGGGGGGGGGATTCTCGTATAGCTCCGCACTCGCTGTACTGTGCCCACTTTTATACCCCATTTCGTTCAGTCGATGGGCCGCGGATCATTTTTAGCGAGTCCATAAACAATGGCCCGAAAGGATACATCGTCGGGGAAAGTGACAACAAAAAAAGGAGGGAACGTCTCCTCGCTCATACGAGGCCGGGACATCTGTCGGCGCTTGGTTCGCGACAGATGCAACAGCCGCGCTAATCGATCGCCAAGCGTAGGAGGAGTGGATGTACACAATGGCGGCCCATTGTGCGCGTAGGTATAGATTTCGGACGCTGCGGCGCGAACAAGTGCGCGGGGGGTGATTAAAACGATCTCCCTCCCTTGTGCGGGCTCTAATTGGAGCCTCTGATTTTCGGGAGCGAGGCTCCTTTATTTTTCCTTTCTCTCTCGATCGCGACTAATTAAAATTTCAAAGAACAAAGTCCCGGTGCCGAAATCCAATGGGTTTGGGCGAACGCGGGTTTAATTAGTCCCTCGAAAGGGATATACCGGAGTGGGGGGGGGCGGTTTTTGTCGATCTCATTGCACGCGCGATCGGACTGTCGAAACGCGGTGATTAACGCGACATTGCGTGGGTTTTTTAAACACCGACGTGACGGTTGACGAAACAATACGACGCATCCGTCGTTCGGAAAAAGAAGACGTCAGCCGCTGTAGTTGGAATTTTTCGGCGTGACCTAGCGGTATTTCTTCTCGCGGAGAAACTTGGGTTTTGACGAGCGCGTGCCATTAAAGAGCAATCAAAGCACACCGGGAGCCTCCAATCATTTCGGTCGTGTAGCTGGTGTGTTTTTTCTTTTTTCGTGGCACTCGTGATTTCTCAAGTTAATGAGGCGCAAACGTGTGGTAATATAACGTACTTACCTGCTGACAGTTTTGCAAATCGCCCGTGTGTGTATATGTTTATCCTTTGTATCACACCCGTGGGTTTGGCCATTACTAATGGGACTTTTATTTTTCCAAGCCTCTGTAAAACAGATTTTGAGGCAATGATCGGTACGCGGTGTTTCGTTGATTCAGTCGATCGCAAAAAACTGACTCGATTGGAAGGGTTTGGTTTGTTGGTTGATCGTCGTGAGCAAAGTCCATACGAATTTGGCTCGCGCGTGTAATGTACAATCGAAGCTCAAAGGGTCCCGAAGTGAAAATAAATTTCCTCCGAGACTAATTTCCCGAGTGTGTGTGTGTGTGTGTGTGTGTGTGTATACTTGCAAAATGTGAGCGCGTTTTTGACCAGCTGAGTGCCGGCTCTCATAAATCTCGCGCGCCAATCACGCCTCTCGCGTCTTAAACGAGCCGTGAACGACGTGTTTTGCCTTCGGTCGGCTGTAATCTCTCTGCCCTCCTCCGCTTACTCGCGAGCGATGCAAGGATATTGGGTGGGACGATTTTTTTTTTTTTTTTTTTTTTTTGTAAATACGAGCTATTGTCAAAACAGACGGACTGACGAGTGCGGTCTTTTTTTTCCCCTCTGTTGCAGGCATGTCGGGGACGATTGGTCAGGCGAACATGAGCTCGTACTACGGGCCGGCGGCCTATGGATCGCTCACGACCATGGCCGCGGCCGCGGCGGCTGCGGCTCATCAATCGGCGGCTATGTCGGCAGGACTCACTGCACCCGCACAGGTGAGTTTCTATTTTATAAATTGAATTTAAATATACGATGATCATCGATTGCTGCAAATTGGGTGATTTATCGATCAGGTTCTGGTAATGTAATTCAATGAACGCGTTCAAAGAAGCGATTAACTAATGTTGATTTTCAAAAAAAAAAAAAAAAACAAGAAACGTAGATACTAGCTTTTTCCATCGAGACGCGTAGCGCACTTTCGAAAACACATATCCACTAGCGGCAAGTCATCCTTAAAACGGCAAGCTCAGCCACAAGAAAGCGGTAACTTTTTTAAAACTACGGCACAGAAGCAACGAGCCACCGGACCCAACTCTTATTATCCTGTCTTTCGCTTAACACTTCTCGTACACGCGTTATGTACAGAAACGGCTGCCACGCCAACAAAAGCCCTGCCTCTCCGAATGCAAAACAGCAGCAGTTTGGTCCGTCGATTCGCGACGCGCGGCTAACTATACCCGGGGACTCGCGCGTCCCTCTTTTGTCCACTCTGGTACGCGGCCTCGGCCGCGCGATGGTTAATTATGCGCGTGAAAAAATAAAACGAGTGAGACAGGCAGGAGAAGAGACGAGGACAAAGATTCGTGTGTTGTGGAGGCTCCGGAATATAGACAACTTCCAACGCGTGTATTATAAACAAAAAAGTCACGTATCAACGAAATTATCGTGTGTCTTTGATTGTAATTAATCCCTTTCTTTTTTCCTCCGTATAAGTTGGGTGGGTTCCCGTGGGAGTTTCCGAAAAAGAGACTGTAACAGGTATACCTTAGATGGTACGTTTCTTTCGACTCGTTGTTCGCGTGTTTGTGTGATTAACATATAAAACGATCGCATTGTTTTTGTTTTATTTTTTGTTTATTTTTTTTTTTTTCCGACGCGATTAAAGGACATCGTCGATAATTGGATGTGTATTTTTGGCTCGAGGAAGGAGAAGTTTCTTCGCTCCTGTGTCTTTGTCTCTCTCGGTGTATGCAAATACGCCTCGGCAGAGGTTCCTTTTTTTGCCATGCGTTCTATGGAATTTTAATAATCAGCCTAAATCATTTGACGCGTGATTTGTGGCATGATTATGCGCATGAGAGAATTCGATCGGAATTTTTCGAATATTTTTTTCGCGTCCCCGCTTTTGATTTCTAATTTATGGGCGTGCTTGCGAAAATTTTGATTAGGAAATCGTATCCGATCCGTTTTTTGCGAGGCTATAATGTGCGTGCAAAAAAAAGTGTTATCAAGTTATTAATTCGGGGGTCGATTTTTTATATTTTATTTATTTTTTTTTAATCATGTCCATCTCCAATACTAACGAGGGGTACTTTATGTGTTGAAAACAACAATTTTTCGGGTTGATTACGCTTCGTGATGCTTGAATTTTATCGATTATATATAGAAAAATCTATAAAATCTATAGTCCGTGTACTCTTTCACAAGTCATCTACTTAAAACTGTAGTCAATATGTCTCAATGATTAAACTCTGAATCACTTCAAACATTGCAGGATAAGACTATTTTTTTTCCTCTTTATATAGAGGGATGTTTTTCTTTGAAAATTTTCTACATTAATAACGTGGACAGAAAAGCTTGAATAGAGAAACTGAAATGATAAAAGCACAATACAAGTACAACATCAAAAACGTCCAAGTTAGCAGCAGCAGCGTCAGACCAAAACCTACGCTCGCACATGTATATACACCTCCATCCACTAATAATCAATCGAATGCAACAAATCAAAAAAAGAAACATGCCCCCATCCCCACACACACGTACACAAACTAGCACCCGCACGTGTAAGGCCCAGAGCGAGCGCTCGCGAGTGTAAATCATCGCAACAAAGCCGCTTAACGATCCGACAAAGGGCCCCGATCCTCTATTCCCTCCCGTGTCTATCCATCCTTGCCACTCCGTCTCTTTTTTCCCCCGACGCCCCGCGAATATCGCGGAATATCGAGAATTCACGCCCACCCCATACCTCTCTCTCTCTCTCTCTCTCTTTTTCGTGGAGCTTCTGTTCTTCTTATTCAGCCTCAAAGAGTTTTTTTTCTTCGTTTTTTCAACCTCCTCAGCGCAGCGGCCAAGAAATTTACGACGCTGTTTGCGAGCGGAGAAAAGCCTCTCGCCCCCGAGGCCTTTTGTCGACTGTCCCTTGTATTTTATTATTTTACCAGCAAAAAACGTATCCACGACTGTTATCACGCGGAATGTTAATTTTCGAGACGTCGCGCCCCGTATATAGTAACAATTCGACGCAAAAATATCACCTCGTGAATCACCGAGCGGAGCCCGCCTGCCCCCGGCATATATTATATACACCTACCGTTACGCGTTAAAAAAATAAAATAAAATCGGATTGGTGTAGAGGAAGAGAAAAAATAGTAGGCCCAAAGGATCTCGGAGGACGCTAAACCTACCGACCTTCGGTTTCGCGTACAGCGTATAGACGAGCGCATATGACGCAAAAAAGCGATCGGTAGCAGTACTCAAAGGGGGCGTGTCGGGTCATCCTTATGTGTATACCGTATATCCATACAAGACGGAAAGGAGAGGAAATTTATAACGAGACGGACAATTAACGACTCGCTCGAAAACTCCGTGGAACGGAAGTAGCATTTTTTTCTTCTTCTTTCTGTACTTTATCCGATCGTCGCTGATAATACGGGATTGAGATTTTCAGGGGGTGATAAGCACTGCCCCTATTGTGAATCCTCGGTGTTTGTTCTTACGTTGCCGGTATTATACTTTTTCATCCTTCCAACTCGGTCCCGCTAAATTGGTATTTATTATTCATCGAAATAGTGCACGCAAGTACTTTATATTAATGATCATCTCTAGTCATGCAGCTCTAGTGGTTGCTATCTCGTGTGGGATTAGGTAATTTTCGTGTTGTATCGACAGTAAAAAAAAGCACACGAGTTTATCGTATGTGCCCTTTTTTTCATCACTTTCTGCCTCCAATCGCACGAAAAGCCAGAGTCGGGTGCCGGAGAAATTTAAATAAAAACTCGATAAAAAGTGACTTAGCGACGCCTTAACGTTTCGCAACACGAGAGCGCGGGCAGGTGTGAAAGGTTCGTTACAGGTGCAGCACGACCACATACATGCCTGCGCGAGAGAGAGAGAGAGGCTTCTACGTATGGGAGTCTAGTCGCGGTGGGGAAGATGATGCCCTCTAGGCATAATATGTACATAAATTTGGCGCGACAGCATCCGAAAGAGAGGTGTATAGGCATAAATTGTCACCTCGAGAGGCGTTTTTTTTCCCCTTTTTTTTCTTGCACCAGCGTTATTTTTCACGACAGTTTTTCTTCATTCCGGGAGTTTGCCTGTTTTTTTTTTTTTGTTTTTTTTTTATTTTTTGTTCCTTTCTCATCGTAAACATAAATTATCACCATACATTATTACTCGCTTGAAATTTCAACTCGTAAATTATATACATCGCGTATTTTTCATCCATCCAAAGCCCAAAAAACGTTTCAATACGCGGCAGCACGCAATCAATGACGGAAACAAGATCAATGTAGAGTTATAACGAAATCGCGCGTCTGGCGCTTTCTGATTGTCAACAGGTGGTCAGCTCGATGGACGCGATGAAGTACTCGATGGAGGCCGACAAGTACCGGGCGGCGTACATGCCACCGTCGACCCTGGCCATGACGGCCATGTACTCGGACCCCAAGTACCTCGAGTCGAGTCCCAAGTCGTACTTGGACCGCAGCTACCTGGACTCGGCCAAGGCCTACATCGAGCAGTCCAAGCAGCTCTACATGGACCACCAGCAGCAACAGCAGAAACCGCCCGCGAGCCTACTCAGCGACTACAGCCGGCACTCGGGCTCGACCGGCTACGAGGCCGGCAAGCTCTACGACGAGTCCAGCCCAACCGGTGGCGGCTCGCTGAGCCGGTCGCCGGCCGCTGACTCGCCAGATGGCAGCCTCGTCGCCAAGCCCAACGGCGGCAGCAGCCAGGGCTCGTCGGGCAGCAACAGCAGCAATAACAACAACAACAACAACAACAACCATCCAGCCGACAGCAATCGCAACGAGCTCGGCTCGTCCGCGACCTCGAGCCCGTCCGGTGCTGCCGCCGCCGCTGCTGCGGCTGCCGCGGCTAGTCTCTCGAGCTACTACAGCCCTCAGGGCCTTCTCGGACCGGCTCAGATGGCCGCGGCTCAGTACGCCGGTTACCAGAGCGCCGGGGGCCCTGGTTCGCTGGGCAACGAGTTCCGCAGGCCGCTCGCCGTCCTCCTCTGACCCTCCGATCGGGCGGCTTAGCTCTGAGCCATGCTGGCGCAACAGCGCCATAACCTCAACCACCACCACCATCTTAACGACCAGCAGCACCACCACGACCGTGATTTCGATGATTACAGGCCGTGAGCTGTTGACACCGTCACTCGTACCCACTTGTCCCGCTGTACCTTTACAACCATCATGACATGGCAACCCTCAGTTTTTATTTGGATGATGGAATTGTTTGCGGTTCGTGGTCGGTGGAGGGATCGGCATGGTTTGTTCGATGCGAGAAGAAAAGGAAAAATAAGGAAAAAAAATCAATAAAAATAAAAACTGTAAGGTTTCGAAACAGGAAAAGAGGAAAAGAAAAACAAAAAAAAAGATGAGTCGTTTAGTTGTAATTTTGAAATTGAAAATTAAATTATTTTAATACTTTTAGGGAGGAAGTTCTAGCGAAATTCAAACTTCCTCGACGGTGTTACGTTCCTAATTCGATTTTTACGATTATTTTTTGCCGTAACATGCAACAAAAAAGTAATAACGAATCTCGGCCCATACGCGTTATTTTACAATCGTTTTTTTTTATTTTCATTTTTTTTTTACGTTTAATCGAGTGATGTCTCTACGTTAACTTAGAATGTATATTATCTTTTCCCTCGAAAGCAGGAATTTCTCGTTGTTGTTGTTGTTGTCGTAAACACACACAGGCACACACAAATTATATTAAAAAAAAAAATACACGTTAAAAAAATCATCCAACGAATATTGTAAGGTCGAGTCAAAGGCACTTTGTAAAATAATAATATCAATTGCGTATACGATGCATCCTCACTTTTAATATCTCTCAGCTGAGACAAACAAAAGTTGAAATGATTTTATTGTTCGGTACGCGCACACCCTGTCCGTTTGTACCTTTTGAACGAGCTGTCTTGTTAACAAGAGGTTCGCGTAAAACATATAAATAAGGATGGCTGTAGCTTAAGGACAAACATGTATATAAATCACGTGGCTGTACATAAAAATAAGTGGGTGCGAAACTCGCAGGTTCAAAAAAAAAGAATCTCTAACTGTGCAGACGAAGATACAAAAATAATAAGCGCGTACGTTTAGAGAATAAGATGATAAATGAGGAAAAAAAAAAGGAATAAAACAATATGACGTTGTTGTTAAGTTTTTTCGTTCATTTTTCTGTACAAGAATATGTCGCGAATTTTATAATACATTATTATCATTATAATTATTATTATAATCGGTACGTATGCTAATTACTTGATTTTTTTTTTTTTTTTTTCAAAATAAAGAGAAAAATGATCGTGTGTCTTGATTGTTAATTTAATTTTAATGCTTCGCAACTTACTTTCAGATATTCATCTGTACAATGCGTACATGTTTGTAAATTATATAATTTAAGCGTGTAAATTTTCAGCTGACGCGTAGCGCCACAAGGAATTTACAGAAAGAGATGAGAGAGAGAGTGAATGTGTAGACTATGTCTTTTGTGTCTCTCTGATCGCGTATTTTAGGAATTTCACTAAATATAAGTCCGTGTATATAAAAAAGCTAATGTTACAGGTTTCCAACCGTTGAATTTTTTCGACGAGTAAGTTTTTTTTTTTTTTTTTTCCTTACCTCAAATATTTTTCCCCTTTGTTCCATTTCCACAGTACCAATTTTTTTACAGAAAACGTGAGACACATGCCTTTGCATTTCGTTACCGTAACGATGGAAAAGGAAAAAAAAAAAAAAAAAAAAAAAAAAAAAAAAGAGCAATATGCTGCCCCCTTCCCCTAGAAAAGGAGCCGACTAATCAAGACGCTCCGAAGAGAATCAAGGAGCCATCAGCTACTCTGGTGCGGAGATTAAAAAAAAAAAAAAAAAAAAGGAAGACTATCGAAGAGAGAGCGCGGCAGTGCATGAACAGCGGCGCACGCAGTCGAGAAGTTGGGGGGGGGAGAGAACCACTGCGCCGGCATCGAAAGGGAAGTAAGGGAGGAGACGGGAAGAAGAAAAGGGGAATCGATCGCTGTTGAAGCCGGGGAGGGCCACGTGACTCCTGTTTAATTTAAACGAGCCTCGCGCGCGTACATAATCTTGTATGTATATACCTACCCTCTTTATTTATGCTGCCCGTCTATACATGGCTCTGTTCTTGGATGGCAGCAGAGGAGCGAGAGAAAGGAAAGAAAAAAAAAAAAAAAAGTGACCGATCGGAGATCGAACGGGATATAAAGGGCTTTCACCCCTTGCGCTGACGGATGCGAGTTTAGTCAATGTACGTATACGCAAATGGATTACCGATTTGCCCCGCGCTGCATAATGTATGCAAGTGCCCTCGCTTTTTTTTTTTTTTTTTTT